ACGTGCACGACGGTAGAGGCTGAAGATATTCTAAATCGACTTCATGGTTCTAAAGTGTTCTCGAAAGTCCACCTAAAAGATGCTTATCTCCAAATCCCTTTAGATCAATCTTCATCTCTTTTGACGACAATTAACACTCCTTTTGATCTGTTCAAATACAATTTCCTTCCATTTGGTCCAAGTTGTTCTCCAGCCATATTTCAGGAAGTTATGAATAAGGTGGTTAGTGATCTTGAAGTTTATCAAGATGATCTCATTGTTCATGGTTCTGACAAGGTAGTTCATGACCAGAGACTTATTGCGTCGTTTAATTGAGAAGAATATTACAGTGAATCCAAATAAGTGTTCATTTTGTGTATCTAATTTCGAATGTCTTGGATACCTAGTTGATGGTAATGGTTTTAGATCAGATATGAAACGACTATCTCCACTGACAAATGCACCGTCTCCGAAAAATCTTACGGAACTACGTTCACTAGTGGGTGCTCTTCAATCCTATTCCCGTTTTATTCCTAATTTTTCTTGTCGTGCAAATTGTTGATTTAATATTTTGACATCCAATTCATTTAAATGGGGTGAGAAACAAGAGTCATGCTTACGTAGTCTACTAAAGTTTCTTCAAAGTGATGCTGTTCTTCGAACTTACTCCCCTAGTGTACAGTCTGTGCTTATCACTGATGCATCACTTGTGGGTATTGGCGCAGTTTTGGAACAGGAGGGTAGACCAGTTATTTGTGTTTCACGCAAACTTACTGTTACTGAACAAGGTTATTCACAGACTCAGCGAGAAGCATTAGCTGTGTTTTGGGCTGTTAAAAGACTTCATAAATATTTATTCGGAAAGAAATTCACTATTGTTACTGATCATGAGGCTTTAAAGTTTATTTATCATCCTGAAAAATCCTTAGCACGTTCCTCAGCTGCTATGGTTCAACGATGGAGTATTGCTTTGAGTGCCTATGACTATACGGTTCAGCACAGGAGTACCAAACAAATTCAACATGTTGACTACATTTCTCGACAACCATTACAAGATAAACCTGTAAATACTTAAGACTGTTTGTTAGTGCAACCTTTACCAGTGAAACGTCCAGATATCATTAGAGAAACTCGTAAATACTTTGGATGTATAATTAATGCTATACGGAAAGGTTGGAATGCTAATCTGAAACGTAGATTGCCTATCTATTTTCCAAAGTGGGATGAGCTATCTACTACTCCTGATGGTATTTTGTGTTTAAATGATCGTGTTGTTGTTCCTCCTTCATTGCGTAAATCTGTCCTAGAAGATCTTCATAGTGGACATTTAGGTGTTGAAAAAATGAAGTCATTGGCTAGGCTCACATGCTGGTGGCCAGAGATAAATGCAGATATTTGTCGTACAGCAAACAATTGTGAAAAGTGTCATAAGCTGAAAAATCAGCATTCGAAGTGGACTCCATGGCCAGTATCGTCTGAGGCCTGGCAGAGAATTCATGCAGACTATTGTGGTCCGTTTGTTGGCAAATACTATGCGCTTGTAGTTATTGATTCTTTTTCAAAGTGGCCTGAAGTTTTCTTCACAACTTCACCAAATTCTGACTTCACAATTCAAGCATTAAGAAAGGTGTTTAGTCGAGAACGGGTTCCAATGGTGTTAGTGACTGATAACGGCTCTCATTTTGCTGCAGATGCAGTCACTACCTGGTTAAATGGTATAGGGTGCAAACATCTGTTTACTGCTCCCAGACATCCTTGTTCCAATGGTCAGGCAGAAAATTTTGTCAGGACGTTAAAAACGGCTATTGATTCTATTGCCGCCTCAACATTTAATGAGCTGAAGAGGGGAGTAGATACCTTTCTACTGCAATATAGAAATGCCATACATTCGGTGACGAAAGAGACCCCATCAAAACTATTAAAAGGAAGAATTCTGTCGAATATGAGATATTTGGAGTCTGCAGAAGTTACATATTATCATGGCAATGATCTTCGACCATCCACGGGGATTGTTCTGAAGAATGTCGGGAAATCTATGGTGCGACTTCTAGATATCAATGACTTAAGTACACACAATCGACATGTTGATCAAATACAATTCCAGGAACCAGGTGAGTCTGTTCCGATTTCAGTTGTTAATTCTAATACTAATGAGTGCATTCTAGATAATACAGAGTCTTTATACAATACATTGTCGGACAGACATAGCATGAACTTGAGGAGAAGACGTACAATTGATTACAGACACTTAGACTCTAATTTAAGCTGTGGCGGATGTGGTGTTTGAATGAACTAATGACTCCTTTGTATTTGTTGAATGTTTGGTTTCGAATTCTAAATACAGTACATTCGTTAGTGCTTGTGTAGTACTTCTTGATTCGATTGCGTTATCTCTGGGATTCTTAGTTCATACTATAATTCAAATTCTTCTAATTATCATAGGTGAGTTAATAGAATATAGGAATGTCATGTTTGTTAACTTTTAGTAAACTATACATATGAGGTAAACGTGAGCCACGTGGTCTTAGATCATTGTAAGTAGAACTAGCAATCATTTTCATTTATATGAGTTCTCTAAGCATGCCTTTATTTCGATTTTCTTTTGGATCAGTTAAATCTTTTTTGGATTCATCTACCTTGAATCTCAGTTGGTCATCTAGGGTCGCTTTCATCTTAGTAACATAACCAGCTGTATTCATTAGGTCGATACCTGAATTTTTATCCGGTCGCAAAATTATCACCTCAAAACTAGAACCGGTCCGTCGTAGATTGGCAACATATAAATTAGGATTTATTCCAGTTTGCTGATAGGCTAAATCGTACGAATATTGCCGGTAAGCTTACGGTTCCTTTTGATGTAGCACCTTTGTTCACCAGGATACCTTTTGAAACTATTGATATATTTCGTCTGACTTATGGTCTACCCTCACCAACCCAGTAATTCAAAAAACTACTACTAATGTGCACAACAGGCGTTGAATTCCAGTTTAATAACACCGCATATCGTCAAATCGATGGCGTAGCAATGGAAAGTTCACCAGGTTAAATTATGGCAGGTATATTTATGAGGTATTTTGGAAACGCGGTGCTCACTGGTCTAGTAGGTTAGGCGTTCGCGCGCGGGACTGAAGGCCCTGGGTTCGAATCCTACGGGCGGGATCCTGGATGCGCACTGCTGAGGAGTTCCTCAATAAGACGAAACGGCCGTCCAGTGCTTTCACGTTTGGCCCTCTGCTCTTCCTTCTCTACGCTAACGAGTTGCCGCTGTTGCTTGGGTCTTCGACATTATTTTTTGCGGATGAAGTAAAAATCTGGGAAACAATAAAAAGTGAGGCTGATCATCTGGATCTCCAAGCTGACTTAGACGATTTAGTTCGATGGGCTCGAGGTTGGGGCTTAGAAATCAATTCTAAGAAGAGTGTGCTAATGCATATCGGTCACGGTAATAGTTACCATTATACTATTGATGGTAAAACTCTTCCATACGTTCAAGAACATTAAGACATGACTTAAAAACAACTACGCATTGCAACGCAGCCGCTGTCAAAGGTTTTCGTGCGTTATGGTCGCTTCGCCGAGCGTTCAAATCTTTTGACGAAGAAATGTTTCGAACTTTATATCCCGCCTATGTAAGACCACATTTGGAGTACTGTATGCAAGCAGCTAGCCCATTTCTGGTAAAGGATACTAACTCACTTGAGCGTGTCCAGAGTGTGTGAACGAAATTAGTGAAGAGTCTTTCTAAACTCCCTAACAACGCCTAAACCCTTTCCCCTTGTCGGATCGTAGGACTCGGGGCGACCTTATACTGGCATTTCGCATCTTTAATTATGATTTGGGTGTCAATATATCTTATCTTTTTGCTCCCTCCAGCGCTAATAATCTCCGAAGTCATAGCAAGAAGGTTCATAATCCGCGATCTAATAAACTTAAAGTGGGGTCCCGTTTTTCTCATCGAGTAGTCAATGATCGGAACGCCTTACCCGAACAAGTGGTATCAGCCCCATCAGTGAATATTTTCAAGGAGAAGCTGGACCTTCACTGGAAGGCAATCTGTCAGGATTAACACAGGTTCATCAACCTACTATCCTTATTACTGAGGTCTGAAACAGGTGGGATGTCCATAATTTCGGGAAAGACAGATCATTTTTCTTTGCATTTAGCAAGCTTGATAGAATAACGCGAACACATGAAGTTCATTTGCCTTTAAGGGTATTAATCTCAACTGACCCTTACCGTTTAATTTTGACTCACTAATCTAGTAAAATTCATGTACTTGGTCCTCGCTTGCAATTTTCGCGTTAGGCGTAGTGATACTACACAAATGCTCGAAACCAAACTTTTAAAGCAAAATCCGGTCTTTCAACCTAGTGGTTGAATTGAATACCGTAGGCATTGGACCACGACTTTACACAAACAAAGAACTGTGTCTTGCACTGTACAGAACTGAACGTGTTAGTAAACGTGCCTTAAATAAGCTGATCAGTTATCTTGTTAGATCAACCTCCTAGTTAGACTGCTAACCTCTTTTCCTTTCGTGATATGTCAGAAAGCATCGGTCCAAGTGGTTTTACCATTTTCCAAAACGTTTTAAGTGGAATATACCATCTGTAATAAAAGCCCAATTATCATAAGGCAAAAACACAACGGTATGTTTATTATTTAGATAAGTGTTCGGCATTCGTGCAAATCTGAGATTCAATCCCAGGAGCTCTCTTTCTGTGACACCTGTTTTCTAACACAGAAAATACAATCGTATCCCCACATTAATGCATGAACAAAGCCAAGTTCAAAGTGAGAAACAAAATAGTGGAAGTACGAGAAAGTTAACGATACAGCTTTACAAAATGTGTTGATAGAGAAACCCCAGATTACGTTCTTAATTGTAAGGTGTTCACATTTATAAGATCAGAGTGGATACAAATGAGAAAATGAAGTATTGTGTCACCCTGGCTGATACATGGTATTTTTTAAACACTCGGAAATAATGTATATGGAACATCAGAATACAGAAAGGGAGTTTAAGGATTAATAGAAAAGACACTAGTTTGGTCAGTTGCAGTTAGTCGCCGTTCAACTTCACGGTTTTTACTAGCCGTATCTACTGGTCGAGCCTCACCAAAAATCTTTGAGTTGCGTCCAGATAGTTCATTTAAATCTCGTGGTGCAGAACGAGGTAGTAAATTAAGTTTTGGTCGCTCTCCTGTTACAGCTGGTTTAAGGTTAGTCTCCAAAGACAGTTGACTTTGACTTAGTGGTGTCAACCCAGGTGATCCAAAGATGCTTGTACGACTGACGAAACCTCTCTTCCAAATTGATTCAACATCTTCACCATCATCTCTAGATGTATAAACAAAGGTACTCAAAATAGCGAACGCTTCTTGTTTAGATATATAAGTGGTAATCAATATGACGAGAAAGGAGGAATTGTGGTGAGAAAATGTAAAACGAATAGCTATGAAAGTGCCATTATCTTTTGTCATACAGATTTATTATATATCAGCCGGGATGTGGATATGGAGCATAGTTTTCTCTGCCCTTTAGTGACGTTAGAATTTCCAACCAACCTGTACTTTTTCCACGATGATGAGGTGAGAATCATTATTTCGGTTTAGTTAGGTGGTTATAACCCAAGGCAGTGAGCACCAGCTCAAGTTGCCACACGATTTAGGGTCAGAAACAATCCTAACCATAAAGTTGCTTCCCGACACCAATGAGATTATGGTCATGTCTTCCAAACAAATCAATTTTTATCGAAACAATTGTTTTGAGCTTACTTACAAATACTGTAGCTTGGATTGATTTTAACACTTTTAAGCGTATCCATGGTCTCACCTCGATGTCAACCACTGATTGTATTGTGCATTGCTATATTTTATTTATCTGACTGTCTTGTTTTCATGTGGAAACGTCTTTATAATTAAATGTGTTATCAGATTGTCCGAAATGTATGATACGTGTCCCATTTTTCAGATCAACTGTCTTCTCATTACACTTATAGACGTTATAAAAAGAGACTAGCCGTTTTACATCGACTCATTGTGTGTTCAAGAAAAGATATGACTTTATTTGCCGCGACGTATCCCTACTTTAGGTTGCATAAACATCTCATAGGATTTAGTTTCAAGGTTTTATGTTGATTGTTTCCAGTCACCTAAGAAAGTCAATGTGATTTCACTTAATTCATCGACCATATCATGGTTTTCGTCAACAAAATTTTCTGAGTAGTAGGCAGTAAACGTTATGAAAAGTAACTGATCAGAGCGACAAAATAATTAATTACATATAAACTAAAGTGTTTTATTGATCATATTACTACATACCGAAGAGCAATAGGTCTGTAGCCACCTCGCTGGCGCTCAAAAGCCATTTCACTACGACGCATTCCAGAGCAATAATTCTTCTCACGTACGAACCCACCTCGCTCAGACTATAACAAAAAGAAAACATTAAACAACATCGAATTAATGTTTGACAGTGAAACATCAGTCTTATTTTCGAATGCATAGAAACTAGTTAATAACGGGAAGACATTGAGTATCATTCTGTTAGTCTGTTTAGTACCACCTGAAGCGACTAAAAAGCATTAGTAAGAGACCTAAGGTTGTGAATAAAATGCGCACAAGGTACTTATCAGTCAAGGTGAATATTTAATTTAATAAGGTGTACAAGAAAATCCAGTCAGTCGCAACGTAGAACCCGGTACATATATACAGTCGACTCCATTTGCCATACCTTACTAGTACAGAAAGATAAACTAATGAAATAAATACAAACGAACAGTAAAGAAGTAAGCCTAGAACTTGCACCATCGCAAGTGGTTTGGAGCCATACTAGTCATGTCTCTGAAGAGAACCGGTCAGACTATTGAGAATATTTCAGACTCTATATTAGTCAAACTAATTCCTCTGTGATTGTCACAAGAGGATTTCTGTCCTTTCTTATCAACTTAGACTATCAGAGATCGAGACCAGTCAGGTGGGGTTATGTCGAATTTCCCGAGTTTAGCTGAGATTCTAGCTAGTCTAGCTGCTAAGATTAGACCACCATCTTTAAAAATTTCAAAGGCTAGTCCATGACGCTTTGCATCTCTCCCTAGCTTTAGATTACTTACAACCTTTTCAACCTCACTAAGAGTTGGAAAACTTACGTCAATCTGCCAGTAAGGTTGCTAGGAGATAGTGGGTGACTGAAATACAACTGAAGGCCAATTAAACTATTTCCTGAAGTGTTATGTCTATTGATCTAACCTCGTAGATTGATAGTGACTAATAATACCATCATTTTCCGAGATAGTTTCGCTATCAGTCGGACTTTAAGTACCCACCTGCTTAATAAGTATGAACAGTTGTCTAGTGTTACATATCACCGTTTTTTTTCACCCCTTGATTTCGCTACCCACCCCTACTCACGATCATTACATGGTCTTTTTATTAGCTTACATTTAAGCTCTATTCGCTCCTTATCGTGTTCAGAGTCAGACTAGCATAGCCTGTTCTGATTTTGAGCTTAAAGCTATACCTACACCAGCAAGACCATGGGAAGTAGCAATGGAATATCTAAATGCACGAAAGGTAAATCTTGCCAGTTCTTTAAAGTGACAAGACACGATCAAATCAATAAGCGTATTTGGATCCTGTGTGCATGCTTAAGAGACGCAGCATACATCCATAGCACGAGTCCTAGCTAAAGAGTCAGTCAGTCAGGTACAACGTGGAACTTCGTACGTACGTACATCAGTTCGAGTTGCCATACCACATTAGCACAGAGATTCAGTTATCGTCTCAAATCCCGTAGTGGCAGAGTAGTGAAAGTATAAGTAGTGACAGGAAACGTTAAGGAGAATAGTCCAGTGGAATATGTTTGGAAAGAAAATAAAGGACATGGAGGATTCAGAAGATTAGAGTTTGGGAGAACACAGAGAGTGGATGCACCTGCGCCATTGCAAACGATTTTTAGCCATGTCATTCAAGGTCTCTAACCATCGGTTGCTATCATCTCGCGGTCCCCAACCAGGTAGTCTACATCTACCAACATGGCTCAGTCCCCTTGTCAGTGACTTCATGGATTTCTGCCATGTTTTGGTCTGGACGCCCCTAGCTTTCTTCCAACCTATTCCTATACCACAAAACATCGTACGTCGTGGCAGTCGGTGGTCTGGCATGCGCAACACATATCCCAGCCATCTCAACTGATTAAGTTTCACTACTTCGTCAATCGATTTGTCATCCTTACCTAGTACCCGTTTCCTAACAACTGAGTTACTTACTCGGTGGTCCCAGGATATACGAGCGATGTTTCGAAGACACCTATGGTCAAATACTAGTAACCTACGAATATGCTCTACTCTTACCGGCCATGTTTCACTACTATAAAGTATGACGGAACGAACTGCTGCGCAGTAAACACGTCCTTTGGTTGATAGACGGATATCTCACCTACGCCACAAATGACGCAGGTTGGCAAAAGCGAGTCGAGCGTTTTGTATCTGTGCTGAGATTTTGTCACACACCAGACCACAAGAGCTGATGGGACTTCCAAGATAAGTGAAGCGGTCGACACGCTCAACAACTTCACTCCCTATCATTAGTTCGGGTGCCGATGCAACCCAATCCTGAAGCAACATTTTGCATTTCGGGGGAGAAAATCGCATACCGAACAGGCTTGCATTGTTGCTTAGAGTGGTCAGCAGACTCTGCATTCTGTCAGCGTCTTCACTAAATAGAACTATGTCATCGGCATATTCTAAGTCAACAAGTGAATCTCCCGGTAAAAGTTCAACTCCTGGAAAGTCAGATGTGGAAAGTGTTATTTCTAAAAGCACGTCAACGACAAAGTTAAACAAGAATGGAGAGAGTGGACAGCTCTGACGAACACCACATGAGGTAATCAGTTCTGATGACAGTTCGCCATAAGCTCTCACTCGACCAGTTGTGTTCGAGTAGAGAGCCTTCATAAAGTTAATGTACTTCTTTGGTACTCCTTTCAGTGACAAACACTGCCATAGAACCCCACGATCAACAGAATCAAATGCCGCCTTAAGATCGAGAAATACTACCATTGTGGGGCGTCTGAATGTGTGTCTATGTTCTAGGACCCGACGTAGTGTAAATATCTGGTTTATACAACCACGTCCAGGTCGAAAACCAGCCTGGTTTTCTCTAGTCTGCATTTCACGGGCTTTGGTTAGACGTCGAAGTATTATTGAAGCTAATATTTTAGACACTATATTATTTATTTATTTGAACACATAAATATTGGTACAGAGGGGCACCAAATATATATGCGCCACACAAAACAATGATAATTTGAAGAGAAGGAGAAAAGAGAAAAATAAAAGTAATGAACGTGGGGAATTATAAAAAAAAAGGGAGAGAGAGAGAACAATGGTGGGGGAAACGGAAAGGTACAATCAGAAGAGATCTTTCAGTTAAGGAAGAAAGTAAGAGGTTACAGCACGATCGCCACTGGCTTCTATTCTTAGCCATATCTTATAACGTCTCTAGCCACTGCGTTACACCATCTCTCGGACCCCAACCAGGGAGTCGTGAAGGACCAACAGAAGCTAGCCCTTTGCAGCTTTCTTTCATACCACGACACCATGTCATATACTGACCACCTCTCCGCTTTTTCCAACCAGTCCCCAGCGTCGGCAAATAATGCACGACGTGGAATTCTCTGGGATGACATTCGTAGAACATGTCCAAGCCACCGAAGTCGGTGTTTCAAGATGGTGACACCAATTTCATTATCGTCTCTGTGACCGAACACTCGATGCCGAACCTCTGCATTACTGACATGGTGTTGCCACTGGATGCCAGCAATCCTTCGGAGACAACGATGATCGAACACAGAGAGTCGTCTAACATCCTCAACTCGGAGAGGCCAGGTTTCACAAGCATAGAGCAAAACTGCTCTCACCGTCGCGTTGTAGATCCGACCTTTTACAGCCAGACTAACATCACGAAGGCGCCAAAGATGGCCCAGATTGGCATAAGCCGCTCTGGCTTTCACTATACGTGCATTGATCTCATCACTCACGCCACCACCAGCACTTATGCAGCTACCTAGATACACGAACTTCTCGACTACTTCTATCTGCTCACCATCCAGAGTGAGTACAGGATTAGAATCCTGCCAGTCTTGTAGAAGTACTTTGCACTTCGAAGGTGCAAAGCACATACCATACCTACGGACATTGATTGCCAACTGATTAAGTGCGGATTGCATGGCTTGGGTATTATCGCACAGTAAGACAATATCATCCGCATACTCAAGGTCGAGAAGTCTTTCTCCAGGCAACAGATCCACACCACCATTACTTACATCCATCAGAGCTGTTTCCAGAATGTCATCGATGGCAAAGTCGAAGAGGAATGGTGAGATTGGGCAACCCTGCCTAACTCCACCGCTTGAATGGAATAGTGGAGAAAGGTGGTTGTATGCCCTCACTCTGCCTGAGGTGTTTGTGTATAGGGCTTTTAGGATGTTATTAAACTTCTCAGGCACACCCTTCTTCAATAGACAATCCCAGAGAACAGTTCTGTCCAACGAATCGAAGGCAGCCCTGATATCAAGAAACACTACGATTGTTGGCCTTTGATAAGTATGGCGGTGTTCTAACACTTGGCGGAGGGTGAAGATATGATCAATACATCCTCGACCAGAACGAAACCCAGTCTGCTCCTCGCGAGTCAATCCTTCTCGGGTCCTGAACAACCTACGAAGTATGACGGAAGCCAATAGCTTGGACGCAATCGGAAGTAGACTTATCCCCCGATAGTTGTTACAGGAACAACGTGAACCCTTTTTAAAGATAGGGACAACTATCGACTCATTCCATGACGTTGGTACACTCTCTAGTTCCCAGATCTTTGTAAACAACGTCGTCAGTCCCTTAGTCAAAAAGTCACCACCATCTTTAAAAAGAGCCGGAGGTAAGTCGTCTGGGCCCGGTGATTTGTAACGTTTCAAGAGTTGGAGTTCCTTGCGGACTTCCGCCTCATTTGGTGGATCAGTCGTCACCGGCCATGGAGGGCAGGACAGTCTGACCGATGTTGCCGGAGCAGCAGGCCAGTTGAACTGCCCTTCAAAGAATTCTGCCCATCGTCCAAGACGTCGATGGATGTTAGTGACACTATATTAGTCAAACTAATTCCTGTGATTGTCACAAGAAGACTTTTGTTCTTTCTTATAAACTGGCACGATCAGTGATTGAGAGCAGTCAGATGGGATCACGTCCAGTTCCCAGATTCTACCTAAGACCTCATCCAATCTCGCTCCTAATACTGGACCGCCATCCTTGAAAATCTCAGAGGCAAACCTGTCAGGGCCTGCTGCTCTCCCACGCTTCAGATTTCCTATAGCTTTTTCAACCTCGTAAAGAGTAGGAGGATTCACATCAACTTGCCATTCAGGTCAACTGGAAATCGTGGGATACGGAAGTGTGGCTGAAGGCCAGTTGAACTGATCCCTAAAGTGTTCTGCCCATCGATCCAATCTCTTGGATTGCGAGTGAATAATGTGTCCATCGTTTTCGGAGATAGTTTCACTAGCAGTTGGGTTCCTAATACCGGTTTCCTTAACAAGTCTGAACAGTTGCCTGCTATTACCTATTGCCGCTGCCTTTTCCATCTCTCTTGCTTTCGCTACCCACCATTGTTCACGATCATTGCGTAGGCTTCTAGTCAGCTTACGCTTAAGCTGACTCCGTTCTTCGTTATGTTCAGAGCCAGATGGAATGAGTTTTCGAACATCTATCAGTGCGGTAGACGCTGCTGAGATTCAGTGTTTCGCCACAACCTTATGGTTGACCTTACTAGCAGATGTTACTGTTGTTTTCACAGCTTTTCGGATATCATTCCACGCTGCCTCGGGGTGGGCGTCACTTACATGGCTGCCTAACTGTTTTTCTAGTTGTTCCCGAAATATACCCTTAGTTCGACTATCACTAAGTAGGACCCTAAGGGGTTTCCTTGTACCATCTTTCCTACGTCCAGTAAGATGTACACAAATACGCGCTCGCACTAGAGCATGATCTGAGTCTAAGCATGTGTTCCAGAATGAGCGACAGTCTTCTATCGAGCCCCTCCATCGGTGGCTGATAGCGATGTGATCTAGCTGGGTCCAACGTTGGGACGATTCCGCGGGTCGCCATGTCAAAAGATGTTTTTCCTTATGCTTAAAGTTAGTATTTGCAAGAAACAGGCGATTATCTGAGCATAGCTGCAACAGACGGCCACCGTTATGTTCTTTGGGCCGCAACACCATAAGATCCACCCAGGTGTCTCTCCCTTTCGCATAGTTTACCTACTTGAGCATTAAAGTCACCAGCCACTATTACTACATCTGAACGCCTAGCTTTTTGGAAAAGGTCGGAAAGCTTTCTGTAAAACTCATCTTTTACATCATCTGAGCTGCAGTCAGTGGGAGAGTAGGCAATGACGACAAAGAGGCAATGACGTGTGTCCCTACCTTTCCGAGTCCTTGCTGTTTCGTTTAGTCGAACAGCGCACAAACGACTGTCTACTGGGATCCAGTCTAAGAGAGCTAGTTCTGCCCTAGGACTCAATGCTATACCTACACCGGCGGGGCCACGGGAAGCGGCATCAGGGCTTCCGGATACACGAAACATGAATCGAGTTGGTTTGTTACTTTGACATGGTGAGGTTAAATGAATGACACTACTCGGATCCTGTATGCGCGTTTCGGAGACGCAGCACACATCGATGGAGCGGGATTCTAAAGTCCTAGCTAAGGAAGCCTGTTGTCTTATTTGGCACAGTGTTCGGACGTTGAAAGCTCCTATGTGTAGTTTAGAGCGTGGTTTCAGGAGACCAGGAACAACGTTCCGCGTACTCGAATAGTTTGCACTAGTGGGGCGAGGTGATAAAGGGACGTAAGAAGGGTTAGTCGTGGAGATAGGAGAGTTATTAGGAGGTGTTGGAAGGATTTGAATGTGACCAACGTGGTCTCGTGTGCTGTTACTTGTATGAGAGCTGATTTTTATTTATTTATTTTATTTTTAACACATAGGCGTTTGTACAAGGAGGCAACAAATACATATGCGCCACACAAATCTCAATTGATTTGTGTGAAAGCTGTGATACTGCTCGGGTGCTCAAACCGAAGCAGGTAGTTTTCTTAGGGGGCCACACCCCGAGCCTTCGACCTGAACGTCTGACCCACAAGGCAGTGGAGCATCGTAAGGAGATGCAGTCCTATGGTAGCCGGTGACCAACAATTGGTTCATACGCCATTTGTCCCTTCAGGATACTGGAGCCCATATGCACCATTGGTTTGAGATCCGGTTAAAGCGCCGGACATTCGCTTTTCGTCCTCTCATTTTTGTAAACAACACCCCCGCCACGAGAAGGCAGTGAGTAGGACTTCCCTGGCAGAGGCTATATACGCGTGGCCATGTGAGAGCATTTCGAGAGGGAGAGAGGACTCTACCCACTCTCGACCGTACCAGGGCATTTGGGGGCTGATGTCACTTCCCAGCTGCCCACACCGTGGAAGGGTATTTCTTGAGGAACCTGAAAAGAAAATCGGGTTAGCGTTAATCTTAACGACCTGGGTGCGTGACCGCAGAACCCAAGGGACAACTGCTTGAGGCCGGTCGCGCACGGCCTTTTCGTGGGAGGTTTTTAATGTGTTAGCTCCGTTCTTCAAAGGGCCTTACCGCCGGAGACGGAAATCCGTGGGGTAAGGTGAGAAATTTTTAGGGTCGACCTTTTCTAACCTCTTCATTCCTTGTGAGAAGGCAGCATCGCTGTAGATGCTGGTTGTCCGAGGGAAACACCTTACTGCTGTCACACCTCTGTACAGTCAGCAGTGCGACTTCGCCCTCAGACCTTGAGTTGCTGCTTTTAGTCTTACCGTTCTCCAATCGACCTGCCTGACATGGTAGAACCTGCAGGAACATGTGTTCCAGCCAATATAGCTCGGTTGGGTCATCGCGACAGGCAAGCCCGACGACCACGTCAAGGTAGCAGCTACGGACCTGTTGTCCTATCCTGTTCAAGGTTTGAACATTAAAAGCTCTAATGTATGGTTTATAGAGTGGTTTTAGGAGACCGGAAATAATCATCAGTAATCCTTTTTAAATAACCAATAACTTTAAAAGCGAAAACATCTAAAATTGTAAGTGTAGAAATTCTGTAGACGTGACTTCACTTGGAAACACTTTCAGTGAAATCCTTAACAACTATTGAACAAAGTGACCTGGATTATCAAAGCTGAACGGCAGTTAGTAAGATTAACTCGGAGGTAGTAGTACTCTGTATGACGAGAATCTCACGTTTATGGATGACTAAAATTCGACCACTCCACAACGTAGAATTTTGCAGAGGTATATTGGTTTTCATTACTACGAAGAACGGTAAGAACGAACGTGATGAAAAGTGAATAAGTAATAATATCGACGGCGTATTTAGAATAAGTGCAGAATATGGGAAAAAATAATAAAGGTTGAGCAATATAGGAGACCATACAAATTTAGGGATTAGATTAAGTTTACGAGAAAATATACATTAATTACTAGCTAACCTATGTGATCAACGGTTAAAATTTGTCAAAGATGTAAACCCCCCAGCTACATTCTATCAATTATGTGTGATTATTTAAGGACTTCATTCTCAAAATTCAATTGAGACACACTATAAGGATTTGTTGGTTCTACTACTAGCTCGTCATAAACTTGACTTTTTCAAATAAGCAAAACAGTAATACTTAAATAAGAGCACCGTTAAATGGTCTTACCTGAATTTACCTTAAAGTTAACAGTTGCTTAGATCAAATTGAAGTTGTATGCAAGGGCAAGTTATGGCAGTGAGTGCACAATGCCTAGTCTTTCTTAGCGATCAATTTCCCATGAAATCCTTAAAAGGATTTAAGAGAAACTCGGGAAATTAATGTTAAAATTTACCTTACGAAAACTATGAAGTGGTATTATTGTCTGTATATACAATTAAAACGAACTGTGCGACAAACTACTAAGAACACTAACAAAAACCCCTTGAATTTGAAAAAAAATTGATACAAAATCTTGGGAATATTAAGGCAGGAAATTTGAAAAGCTTAGTAAATCAAGGTAACCAGAACTTACCGTGTAGTGAACATGTTTTCAGGACGTTAGCTCAAAATACTTCGGGATTCTTTACTTATAACTAAACTTTAATTGAGTTAATGATTCGCACATAATAGTTAACCCTCGATGTAAGAAAACACTCGAACAGTGTTATGTACTTATGATGCCGACAAAAATACCAAGTCAGTTTTCAGTTGCGGTGTTGATTGAAAAGCGTTTTTCTTTTACGGAGGCTCTATGAAGCCCTAGACTACAACAGCATTAGTGCGACCAACTTGTGAATATATTTTATAAATCTCAATGATCTACGTCTAAATTGGAACTTTATGTTACGACTTATAAGATTAAAAACGGTGAGTAGCCTTGTGACATCCAAATTTACAAACCTAATCGTCCGAATTAATATATCATGTAACTTATAAAATAAAGAAACCCGTAAATGTAGATAAAACCAATACCATGTGTGAAGAAACCGTAATCAGAACTGAACAGTATAGGGCCATCGCAAATCCCACTGTGACAGTAACAGAGCTTACATTATTTGGAGCAGCAATGCGGACATTAACTTGTCGACCAGCCAGAGATGAATCAGAACGCTCAAGAGCTTTTGCTAAGTCATCTCGACTTGCAAAGTCAACAAAACAGAAACCACGAGACCCACCATCTCCACCGACAATATTAATGTTTGTAATCTTGAGCGGGGAGAAAAAACTGTGAAGTTAAAATAACGTGAGATAAAAAAAAGTTACTCAGCGACGTTTTGTTCAGTGGCTGAATACGATACATTGTAAACAAAAGCCCTAAAAGGCTTTTCCATAGGTAACTTCGCCAGTTCGCTTTCAAAAGAAGATGTCGATGTGAATGTTGGCAATTTCGCTCTGATTTTTTGAAGTTCTTCAGCCTTTTCAGACGACAAATTGAGCTCTGCTAGGTTGTCTGTTGGGTCCATTTCAGCTATCTAAGTGGTATTATAGAGCAAAGGTTCACATACTGTGTTGCTCGAATACACAATGTCAACATCCACACTCTGATTGAAACGATTTTTTTTCGATTTCTTGCCCATATTTGCTAACCAAAGGGTCACATGTACGGCTTAAAATGACCCGAAAAGCCCGCGTCAAGCTACTGAGTCCTTCAATTTACATTTCACTAAGGTATCCAGTGTAGTTATTGTTACTTGATGTGAGAGTTTAATTAAACTTTATAAAACTCAGTTGTCGCCTGTGGAGATACTGTGTGGAAGCAGTGGACTTCTGCTAATCCTATCAGTCATATGAAATGTGTGAGGAGTGGTTCAAATGGTTCGAATGGTTGTGGATGGAATAGAAGAAGCTTCCGCTTAACAGGCTTCCGTGTCTAGTAGCAGAGGATCACCAATACCCCCAGGCAGGAACCTAGGTACATTAACGATAAAAGAGAAGGACATGAATGCTCCGAAGCGCGTCCGGATCTCTACTACGAAATCAGTTGCGGTATGTTCACTTCAGAACTTAGACCCAGTACTGTTCGCTTCAAACACCGTCTCGTTGTTCACTTAGCTACTGAGTCCTGATAGCCAAACATTGAGGGAAAATGCTCAGAAATTTAAAGTAAAGTATAGCAAATGGGACTACAGACGTATATTCTATTCTTTAAAAATAATCGGCTCGTGGAATTCTCTACAGGCTGAAGTGTTCCTAAAAGGTCCTCATATTTGTAATGCCGAAAAATATTATCTCACTGTCGTTTGCAGATACTCTTTTCTGTCCGCTTCATATCCAGGGCATTTGTGATCAACTACTGTATACGATGACCGAAAGCTACATTTATTACATCTACAAAGCAAAGGTTTTTGCCAGATTAACTAGAGATAAACCATTCCTAGGCATCATAAAGTAATCTTCAGGTGATTTTAGTGTTCCGGAACAACGCACTCTCTACCATGATGTAATCAATATACAATTCACCCCTCAGTTTCTTCGACAGAGTCAATTTTCCTATAGATATCAGAAGTCGTACGATCGGTACAATCACCATTAAGTTCTAAACGCAGCGTATTCGCGAGATGAATGCTTCTCGATGTACGTCCAATTTGCGCTATTCATACACACCCAGTAGGTATTTTCATTCATGGGGCAAAAGAAATATCGGAGTTGGCCCACCATTCGAACAACTGAATCTAAATTTCATCGTACCGAAAATCTCGGTTTTTAAGTGGAATACTGTGACTAGATCTGACCTCAAAGACAAACGCTAACAATCGATTTTTTACTTCCCATTGAACCCAAAACTACAGTCACCTATCATTGACAGGGTCAAATTAATAGCCTAAGTAACAAGAATCGTGGGATAATTTGTTTTACTCCAGAAAATAACAAGACCGGAGCGATCGCTCTATGTACTAAGCTGGCAGGAAGCTTTCAGTGTTTTTCCAACGAAATAATGAATGGCCAAACAAGTAACAAACTAATTGTCACTGCAAGTTCGATTAAATATTTGAGGACGCACAAAATCAGACTGCTACACTTCCTGATACATCGGTCAAAATGAATGAGTTACTTGTACATTTCTGACTTATTATGTAGATATTGTTAATTATGTCCATAACTAACCAATTAAATCGTCACTTAAGCGCCCACCACGTCAATCTGGTATGATGTGTCTATAGACTATCTCTGTTGCATGTGACCTGCCAATTGAAGGACCTTATTATCCTATTATATTAGTGTGACTCATAATTTTTATTCGTTTCGATAAAACACGCAATATTGGTCGTTATGTTTGTGCGTTCCACTTACTGACCATAATTCTTTTAGTTATTGTATCAATCGAATTGTTACTTTTAAGTTTAGAGGCAGATAAGGTTTAAAGCCAAGCTGTCCTTGTTCTGATTATAGCTTTCACATATACTCTGAGGTCGTCAGTATTGCGTTTGCAGTTCTATCAGAATATCCGCGGGAAAAATTAAATACTACAGCTACCTTATTCATTTTAGTAACTTGTAATCATCATTTACAAAGTTTATGAGCAACGTTTGTTTCTTGTGCTGAGTAAATTATAACAGAAAATGTGGTACTTCGTTTACTTAACTTAGATCTAAATGAACCAACTCTTTTAATTATTGTGGGCTTACCATCCCAGACACTATCTGTAACTGTGAATTTTATCTCTTTCGATAGTCCAGTTGTCTTACCTTGAATTTCTATCCCCGTTTTCAGTGTGTACTTTAACTTTTATCCAGGACATTCTTGTTCATTTTCTGATTCTTCCCAATCTTCACAAACCAAGCTTTTTTTACTTAATTTTAGTCAAGATTCGTCGTTATAATTTCATGGCCATATACCGTTGACGATTAAATCTTATTTTTATGAACTCAGCATTGCCGGGTGAAGCAAATGCCCATTATTGCACTTTGGCTTTATGGTGAAAATGTTTAATGTTCATTTGATTCCTCCTAAAGGAACTGGGATGCTACTTTACCGAAATGCCCCTGTTGACTTCCCAGTACTGACGATTGTATTTAGTAACCAATTTTCCCAGTACAGTACAAAAGTTTGATCCAGAAAAACGCTTCACAGTATAGTGACCGAGCCTCACTGTCGAAAAATTGTGCTTCTTCAACATAATTTCTTATTATTCAGCAGAACCACAAATATCTGTTTATTAAATTGTGATCTTGTGTCACTAAGGTATAACGTTAACTGTGAAATTCTCAAGAAACATACTACCACACATAAATGAACCGAAAGAACTGGTTACCACAAATTCAGAATATAATTTTAGATCGTTTGCCGCGTTTAAACTGGAATCATGTGCTACGGAAATATTCTTGCATGATGACTTCAAACGCGCCAATGCCTGATTGAAAAATGAGTTTTTGTAATGACATATACGTCATTTGGACAGTTTCAGTGAGAGTTTCTTGGATTCTCTTCTGAAGTCACGTTTTGTAATGTCTATAAAACGTCCATTAATATTGAAATTAAAAGTGGAAATTGGAAGAGATACACTTGCGTTTTAACAAAGTATTCGATTGGTGTGACTGCTATGCATACAAATCATAAATTTACCGAAATTCTTAGATCAGTGAAGATCAGTTCTTTGAAAGTATGTCTTGTCGAGAGATTACAAAAATCGCCAATTCAAAAGAACGGACTTTATATACAAAACTTTGTCGTTGCCGTCTTGCGTGCGGAGACAAAAACAGTGATTCTCACCATTAGCTATTTCAAAAGGTGGAAAGCCCATTAAACCGAAAATAGTTAAAGAGGAAGTGATGATCTAAAACTCATATAAACAAAGCAAGCCAGAATAAAATTCAAAACCTAGATGCATTGGACGTCCGCTCTGTCTTAGTATAGGACTCTTAAATAGTGCGCATGCTCCATCCGAAACGTGCGAGTCCAACCCATGACATTTTGTCTCACACACAAACACTTAATATGTAGACCACTGAACAAGCATCCAACAGTGTTATTGTCTAACTTATATCGATCCATGATCTCGTGCAACCCTTCATCAATCGTATGAGGTGGATAACCGTTTCACACCCTCTCACACACGTGTCTGTATTCAATTACCTAAACTGGAGTAGGCAAGAAAGTTATTACCAGCATTAAGTATATGATGAAATTAGACAAAAATCGAGATAGTGGTCAGCCTTATCGGACACCACTTGGGGTTGCAAAATCAGGTGACAGTTTTCCACAAGCTCTGACTCGACTGGTAGCGTCCGAGTAAAAAGCCCTCACAAGGTTTATGATAGATACTGCCATAGAAACTCGCAGTCTACAGAGTCAAATGCAAGAAAGAACACAATTTGCGGACGCCGATAAGCATGTGTGTTCAATGCAGCCACGAACAAGTCTGAAGCCAGCCTGATTTCCCTGTGCTTGCAGCTCAAGAGTTTCTGTTAGGCGCCCGATGATTATTGAGGCTAGTATTTGAGATGCTATGTTAGTTAGACTAATCCCACTATGGTTATCACAGAATGGTTCTGTTACATGTTGGACCGCTGATTAGAGGGCCATGAATTATCGATTGGATCAAAGACGCGTAAAACACGTGAGAGCAGTCTAGAGTCCTGATTAGTCTCGCTTCCTGTCTAGCCCAGCCAGTTTAGTCCAGAACGCTAACCTCAGCCTCTGCAATATGAATCATTATATTTCAAACATACTGAGTTTATATACCAATCAAACAGACCACAACGTAACATAAAATAGAAAATAACATCCGTACAAAATTTGACCAGATGTGGCTGTGAATGTGGGAGGCAGTGACTAATAAACAGGGCATAATTCAAGAATGGTAAAACGTATAATAATGGAACGAAGCTTATGATAAGAGGAATATGAATAGTTTGGTTATTTAACAATTATAGGATAAAAATAAACGTTTAGTATTGGTCCACAAATGGATCCCAAAATTACCATTCATTATTTTTGTCGGGACATAGCAGCTTTTTACCCCTTCTTTTATAACGGGACAATCAGTGATTATGACTGGTCAGATGGGATCTAGTCCAGTTCCCAGATTTCGGTTGCAAATTTAGTCAATCCAGTCAATAAAATCTGACCACCATTCTTACGGTCTACTGGAGTTGATCCATCTGAACCTATTACTACATTTCATAATCTCAAATTTCTTAACCAATCACTAACACCGTTTACGATGCTTGATATATAAAACATGTGTTTCAATGTATTAATTATAGTTGACTACCAAGGCGCTTATGTGTTTGGTATTCGTGGAAGTAATTAACTAGATTTTAAATATATACCATACAATGATCCTCTTCCATGGAGCCCAGTTCGGCAGATCATTCCACTGAACTCAACATATTTTGTCAGATACCGGCATGGTAGCATCATTCTTAACCTAAAGAAAAGTTGCATTTTATCACGTCCGTACAAACAGTTCACCTTCCGATTTGATCTATGACCGCAAAGGTACTTTGGGGTAATCAGTCCCCATCGAACCCTATCCTGGACAATCCTTCCCATTTGTTATTCATCATCTTGATGTCCGCTTCTATTTCTGGAAAGTTAATTTAAATGTAACACAAGATTTTGTCTTAATTACAAA